CTAGTTCGTCTAGGAATCGTGATCGGACGGACATGGAAGTTTATTCAAGTTTTGCCGTTCCATTGAGGAAACAAGCTCGGAGGTCAGAGATAGGTGGTCTTCCGGCGGATATCGGAGGTTTCATAGCACCTTCGACATCTTCTTGCCAAATATCGGAAGCACCGGTGTGGAAGGGAGAAGAACCGGAGGAGGAGCCGTTGTACGGAATAGTTTCCGTTATGGGAAGATCTCGTAAGATGGAGGATACGGTTAATGTTAAACCGAATTTGTGTAAACCGGAGTTTAACCGGAAAAGACCTGTTCATTTCTTCGGTGTATACGATGGCCACGGCGGTTCTCAGGTAAGAAGATAGAAGGAAAAAGAATTAACCAGGGTGTTTTGGTCATTTAATATGAAGAGGCTGATGTGATGTGTGGACAGGTGTCAACATTATGCAGCACGACGATGCACACGTTAGTTAAGGAGGAGCTAGAGCAAAACCTAGAAGAGGAAGGAGGAGGAAGCGAAAACGACGTCGTGGAGAAGAAATGGCGGGGAGTGATGAAACGGAGTTTCAAGAGGATGGATGAGATGGCAACGTGCACATGCGTGTGTGGGACTAGTGTGCCTTTGTGTAACTGCGATCCGAGGGAGGCTGCGATTTCGGGTTCAACGGCGGTTGTGGCGGTTTTGACGCAAGATCATATAGTAGTAGCCAACACTGGTGACTCACGTGCCGTGTTGTGTCGAAGTGGATTGGCTATTCCTCTTAGTAACGATCACAAGGTGGTTTTCTTGTAAAGGTTTGAGAATATTGGAGTTTCTCTTTTGAAGTTGTTGAGTTTTTTGCAGCCGGATAGACCAGATGAGCGTGCGAGGATCGAAGCAGCTGGTGGTCGAGTTTTAGTAGTGGATGGAGCTAGAGTTGAAGGAATTCTAGCCACGTCGAGAGCCATAGGTATACATATTTCTCAATTCGCAGATTATGGTAAAAAAATGATTTTAAAGTTGCTAGAGTTGAAGTTGGCAAGGAACTAGAGCCTATAAGGGCAACGATAATCATTTCAGATTTGAGATTTAGGGTTTAAAGTTTTTCAAAAGTAGTAACTAATATAAAAATATGTAAATTTTTTGTTTGGTGCGAGTTCTTTGTTGATAAATTTTAATTTCATTTTAGAAGATGTTCTATAATTGTTCTTTCTAAAAAATATGTAAATTTTACTCTCTCTTTTGTTGACTTTATTTTTGGGTCAAATGTTAACGAAATTTTACATTGGTCTTAATAGTTAACATTTGACTCCAAAAACAACCAAAGTTATACTTGTAGCAGTAACTATAAAACAAGAATAATTGAATCATTTTTCTAAAATAAAAATGTGTGGGCATGCATTCATCATACAAACCCTCTCAATAACGAAAGAAGTATATTTTTAATTTGAAAAGAATTTAAGTTTATTTTATCTTTTCATTGTTTGGTCATTGACCAACTTAAAACTTATTTCGGCTTATTCAGCTTATTAGACCAACATCAGGTTTAAGGCCAATTGTTCCTAATGTTGTGTTATTACAATCGATGGAGCAGGGGACAGGTATCTGAAACCAATGGTAGCATGGGAACCAGAAGTAACATTCATGAGAAGGGAAGCTGGAGATGACTGCTTAGTATTAGCAAGCGATGGGCTTTGGGATGTGCTCTCGAGTCAGCTAGCTTGTGACATAGCTAGGTTTTGTCTCCGGGAAGAAACTCCCTCAAGCCTTGATTTAAACAGAATGGCACTAGAAGACGACAATGACGGAGAACAGAACCCTTCAAGGAGTGTATTGGCTGCAACGTTACTTACTCGGCTGGCTTTGGGTAGACAAAGCAGTGACAATATAAGTGTGATTGTCATTGATCTCAAGAATAACACTTAATAATACTGGTTTTGGATCGGTTTTTGGGTGGTTGTGCAATTAAGAGGTTAAACCAAAGAATAAGATGTTGATATAGCGATGAGCCTTGATTAGTTTTAGGGTTTAGCCAGTGCCGGCCCGATCAATTTGGGTACCCTAAGCAAAATTAAAGCCTATAAATTTTTTTTTTTTTAAATTAGATTTTTACCCTTAAAAAAATGTTGTAGTTGTCTCTAAAAACTCACAATATTTTTAAAAGATCCTACAAAAATTATTGTATATAAGAAAACTTAACAAATTTATAGGTAAAAAGGCCCTCAAAATTTTGAGAGGCTTCACTGGCTTCACTGGCTTCACTGACTTGCCCTCTCCGCCGGGCCTGGGTTTAGCGCTTGTCTCTTTGTTTTGTGAGGAATTGGGGTTATTACCAAATTAACAACGGCGAATGTGAACAGAAAAGAGAGTGGCTTGGATATGGGCTGTAAGGTTATTTACTGGTTTGGACATGGGCTACTTAGGGTATTTGTTCTTTAATTGTGTTTGATGCGTGTTTGTGTGACCATTTTGAAATTATTTGGTCGTTTTTGCTTTGGTCGTTGTAGTTCATTAGATACCGGCCTATGAATTTTCTTTTCCAATGGTTTTAAAATCGTCTCTATGTTTGTGTCGCACTGTGTATATTATATTTGATGATTTTTAATAATATATACTTGAAATATATTTAAATTTCATATTTTATACATGTCAATTCGGTTTCGGTACAAGTACAACCAAGTGAATTTAAGGCTGAACCGGGCAGTTTATGTTTGGTTCAACAATGCTAAATAGGGCCAATTATCAGATTGTCTTTAGGCTTTTAAGAAAAAAAAAAAGCTGTGAACAACAATTAAAGAAAAAGAGACAAAAAGGCAACTCTAGACTCTCTAGTAGTTCGATGGAAATGGAACATTTCGAACAAGTTTGACGAATACAGAGTTTTGGTCCTAATTAAAACGCAGATCAAGAATCAAGAATTGTCTTCGAAGTAAAAAGAAAAAAAGCGTGAGATGGAGAATGTTCTTATGAATTATTCCCACATTACTTTTTGTTCTTTTCTTTTTGGGTCATTATCGTCTCAGTGTTTGTGTCGCACTTTTCTTTGAATCATAATTGTGTTTGTGGGCCTTTTAGCTTCTCTCTACGTCTTGTTTCAAGATTGGACCACAAAAGAGAGTAAGAATGAAGAATATTGGTAGCATTTTAAACTTCGGAAAAATTTCACTTACACTATAAACCACCAAAATTGTTTTACTAACATTTTAAACCTCCAAACTAGCTTTTCTATTTGCAAAGCAATAAAAGATGATAGAACAATCAATTTATGTTTGTTTAATATAAATTTATTTAATTTAATTTAAATTTAAATTAATTTTATTATTTATTACGATTTTGATGATAAATAAAAAAAAGTAGAAAAAATAAAAAATCATCCTCTTCGACTATTCACCGTCCGACCACAATTTTTCAGATTTTTATTCGGTTCATTGTATGTGTTCACCGTCTTTTTATTCAATTTGTATTATGAGATTTAAATTTATCCACTGGAGAGAGTGAAAACGCTTATGGATCAGTCTAAAAAATTGTTTCAACAGTTTATCAAGAAATTTCAAGATTTAAAGTGCTACCCAATTACACTTTGAGGGTTAAAAATGTGATTTTTGGTTTTATTATCTCTTTTCCTTTTGTATTTTGTTATCTACTACATTTCCCTCCCTACTTAACCTTCTACTGAATTTTCTACTAAATCAGAAAAGTTTCTTTTCCCCCAAATTTTTTATGAATTTGAAGATTGGGAATTTTTTTACCCTCTAGTTTTTATTACTATTATAAATGGACTCGGACATTATGTCAATCTAAAATTAACAACTAAAGTTATAGATTGTCAAAAGAAAATCTAACCAATCTCTTTTGTGGTCTAATTACCTACCTAACGTGATATAGACATATAGTTAAACTAACTCATTCAAGCTAGATATTCTAAGGGTGTTATCTAAGATCAAGATCTAAACATTACTTCTATGCAGTTATTCTCTCATCTTCCACAGACTTTAATGCTTTACCTCACATTTTCCTTTTAAAATTGTTAGATACATTTGAATCGTTTCAAAAAAAAGATTGTTAGATATTTGAACAAAGTGTATGCAAATCCATATCATCTCCAAAACCATATGTTTGTGTTCACTCACTACATTCTTTATCCGAACCAACATTTTCGTCTGCACCATCATAGTGGATCTTTTGACTCAATCAAACTTCCACATGAACATGCTATTTTTTTTTTGTTAATATATATAGTTATATACTATATCTTTTCCTCAAGGAAGACTCACTTAAAAAAATTTTATGTTCTCTTTTGACATACTACTAATTATTTTAATAGTATACTAGAAAAACATACTATTTTTTTGAAAGTTATGTTCTATTTTATTATACGACGGTGTTGCTTATTTGTCGTCCTTTGAATAAAAAATTGTCTACACAAATGAGTTATCGTCAACATGAATGGTAAATAATTAGAGAAGCTAAATAATGTTGTTGCATATGTTCTTTTGGCATTTTTTTTAGCTTTTTTATGTAGTTGGATGCCTTTAAAAAAAGATCATGTATGCAAATGGATAAAAATAAGTCATGTATTATAATCGAATTTCTCTTCACATCCTAGGTCAATTTGTTTCTACACAAATTATTCACTTTATGAATCATCATCATCAGTAAGGCTAAACTAATTAATAGAAAAAATTAATGAGATATTGAAGCTCTTTCTAGAAACATTTTGTAGTTGTTAACTCAAGTCGTAAATCCTCTTGTGTAAGAAAATAAAATTATTCGTTTTTAACAAAAAGAAAAAAAATTATTCATGTTAAAAACTTAAAATACCAATAACATACCAATAATACATTAACTTAAATCACTAAATAAATGTTGATAAAAAAAAACTAATATTAGTAAAAAAGCTACAAATTGTCAACTGTCAAACTTTAATTATAGTCTTTGCGTGATGTAATTAAAAAATCATTAAATGTCTGTCAAAAAAAAAGAAAAATCATTAAATGTATGAAAAGTCATTAACTACTGTGTGTGACCACAAAATTCTTGTAACAGCTCATCTTCATAGTGTAATAAAACTAATTTTTATTTTCACTTCAGAGAAAAATACAAATTCTTATTTTTTTTGTTCTATGCCGTCACGAACACTCCCGTCGCCGGCACCGGTAAATTCACCGTTCTCTTCCTCCGTCGCTTCTCACCATGATAGAACCACCACACGCATCGTCCCTCCGCTTGCAGCTGTAGGTTTCTCTCTCTTCATAACTCTCTCCATCTGTTTCTGCAAATTCAACCGTAAACGCCGATCTCCCGCCGCCGTAACCTCATCCTCGTCACCACCGCAGAAACCTCCGTTACATGAATTTTCCTACTCATCTCTCCGTAAAGCCACCTCCTCTTTCTCACCGGAGAATCGACTTGGTCAAGGCGGATTCGGCTCTGTCTTCCGTGGAACTTTATCTCCTTCCTCCGGTGGAAATGTCGCCGTTAAGGTAATGGATTCAGGTTCTCTTCAAGGAGAAAGAGAGTTTCAAAACGAGCTTTTCTTCGCCGGTAAGCTTGATTCTCCTCATGTAGTTTCCGTTATTGGCTTCTCTCGACGACGAAGCCGTTTGATTCTTGTCTACGAGCTTATGGATAATGGAAATCTTCAAGATGCTCTTCTTCTTCGTAAATCTCCTGAGCTTATGATATGGAATAGAAGATTTCTTGTTGCCATTGATATAGCTAAAGGGATTGAATATTTACATAGCTTGAATCTTCCTGTGATTCATGGAGATTTGAAACCTAGTAATATACTGTTGGATCGATTCTTCTCTGCTAAGATCTCTGATTTTGGTTTAGCTAGGTTGAAATCTGAACATGTTGAAGTTAAAGTAGCATCGGAGAGTGATGAAGTCAATGTAGTGGAAGATTATGGATCTGTAGTTGAAGAAGTGGAGAGTGTGGTTACTAATACTACTGGTTATGATGAATCTAACTTTGGATTCACTGATCAGTCTCCGGTGCCTCTGTCATCGCCGGAGATGGTGGCACAGGCGCCTATGGCATCGCCGGAAACAGTTGTATCTGTTTCGCCGGAAATGGGGGAGAAAGTTAGTGTTTTGGA